CCCCTCTACAGACACATACACAGAACGTGCTGACAGATCGACAATGATACCTTCTCACCAGTAACTGTGGTTACAGTGAAATGTCAGTTGAAAAGCTTCCCAGAGCTCGGTGAATCACTTTTATTGTTATAGCCACGCGCACAGAACTCGTCAGGCCACGCATCGCACCACAAGTGCGTTCGTGACGCCCAAAGCCGAGTCGATTTCGGATTGGACGATTGAGGCGAATCAAACAGCTGTCGTCCAATCCATCAATCGGCGTACCAAGGTCGCGATCTGATTGGTGCGTCATCACGTACGACGAATTTACCACATATATTTGCTTATTGTATCATGGTCAATAATATACCCGTTTTCTGAGCCGTGTTCTCTCTCCGTGCCAGTTGTTGGGAGCTAGTCAAGAGGCGCACGTATCGATCATATGTCTTGGCAAAGATATAACATTTTTGCCAACCTGTCCTCACGATGTCAAATTGCCTGGACAGCGTGAACAAATTGCATCTAGGTGACTTGTCGAGGTGCATACGACAGCCCCACATCAAGCCGAAGATCTGATCATACGCGAAAGCAAGCAAAGTCTCGCAGTCATCCAGGCTCACAGTACATCTCGAGTTAGCATTTCAGTCGTGATGAAGTAGTAATCGAACGAAATATACGGGTTTTCGTTTTACCCGGCCGTAGAGTCTCTGTCAAGTTTTTGGTTCGAAACAGTTGTCTCTCTGGTTTAGTATTTGGAATCCCAGGAGTTTATCGGTCCATCAAGTTCCAATCAATAACCAACAAGGACAATAATGTATCTGGCAGTTGATTCCAATTTTTCCTCATGGAATGAGGAGTTTCGCGAGTGATGCACTTGATGCTACAAAATGAAATGTGAGAAAGAAATTTATCCCGGTTGTGAACTTGCATAAAGAGCGCACAGCACAGTGATGCACAATTAATTTTCCTTTATCTCTTCAGGCACAGTCAAAACATGTAATGAAAACTAAGCAGTAACGGTTACGGTGGATGAACTGGCGGCGTTAAATTCATGCATCCTTCTACTCAGGCAGGGCCCGAGTTACCAATATCTCTTTCTGCTTGCGCAAATCAGGTTTCCGTCGTTTTATAGCAATCACCTCTGCTTGGTGAAAACACATTTTGTGTGACAGGAATGGAGGATTTGATTTGATTAGATAATGAATTCGTCAAGTAAATGAGACGTGAGCTGAAAAGCTGGGAAACACTGAAGAGAAGTTGCGACCTGGTTAGGTTTCGTCAGTAGTGCGATTCTATCGACCCAAATAGGGATCGAACCTGGGACCTTACGGGCCGCATACATGCATGCTACTCACTCGGACACCGTGCGGCTGATCAGACCGCTTCGCATTTTCCATTCGATGCGAGAGATGTCACNACGCGCATGACCGCGTGGTTTTTCTTGTCCCCCCTTGAACGAGCACAGCGGGAAGAGCTAGGATCCCGTTCGACAATGATGAACGACTTTAGTCAAAACCCCAGACTGTTGAAGACGTGAATGCTGATATTTCATTCAGCGATCGTAGCTCTTTCTAATATACACCATGTATCGATTGCGAATATCCCGGCCATAGACCTGTTCCCTCTCCGAG